TTTGCATTTTTAGTAGAGATGGGGTTTTGCTATGTTGGGCTTAAACTCCTGACCTCAAGTGATCCACCTGCTTCAGCCTCCCAGAATGTTGGGATTACGGGTGTGAGCCACCGTGCCTGGCCAGGAGTGATCTTTTAAAATGTATATCTGACGCTGTCAGTCACACACTTAGATGAGATACACACTCCTCAAGTGGGCTACAGGGCTCCACTCAACCTGGCCTCTGCGCCCCTCTGACCCCATCCCACGGTCTCCTCTTGTCCTCTAGGCTCCAGCCCCACTGTTCTCCTGCATGAAGATCCCACCCTTCTTCTTTTCTTTTCCTTTTTTTTTTTTTGAGATGGAGGCTCACTTTGTCACCCAGGCTGGAGTGCAGTGGCATAATCTTGGCTCACTGCAACCTCCACCTCCCGGGTTCAAGCAATTCTCCTGCCTTAGCCTCCCAAGTAGCTGGGATTACAGGCGCCCGCCACCATGCCCTGCTAATTTTTGTATTTTTAGTAGAGATGGGATTTCACCATGTTGGTCAGGCTGGTCTCGGGATTACAGGTGCCCACCACCACGCCCTGCTAATTTTTGTATTTTTAGTAGAGATGGGGTTTCACCATGTTGGTCAGGCTGGTCTCAAACTCCTGACCTCAGGTGATCTACTTGCCTCAGCCTCCCAAAGTGCTGGAATTACAGGTGTGAGCCACTGCACCGGGCCAATCCCACCCTCCTTCTGCCAGGTCTTGGTGCCATCCTTGCTCCTGCCTGGAGCCCCCAGACCCTTCAGTCCCCACTGTCTTCCTGTAATTTCTCCTGAAATTTCATCTCCCCCGAGAAGCCCTCCATGAACTCCCAATTTAAAATAGCTCCTTTGTTTTTGGCTCTTCTTATCATACCACCCTGTTGACAAAGTGGGAATTCCTGCATTTCACTGAATGTATGCCAATATAAAATTGTCTTGATGACATATTATCTTTTTTTTTTTCCTTCTACCTAATACTATAAATATATCTGTCTCTTTGTTTGTTCCTGTTCCCCCTACCCTGCTCTAGACTGTAAATTCCTTGAACTGGAATCTGTTTTGTTCACCTGTCCATCCTGGGTGCTGGAAACAGTGCCTGGAACATAGCAGGCCCTCCATAAACATTTGTCAAATACATAAACGAATACTGAAGGCCAAGTACTTTCTAGAAACCGTGACATCCACTAAAGAAAGAGTTCTTAGGGTTTCTCTAAAATAGCTCTAAAATAGCAGGCAGCATTTTGCGTGTCCATGCATTATTCAGGACCACAGCATCCTATTTCACCTCCTTTGTGTGGGTCATTGAGCCATACCCTGCAGTCATTTCAGGGTGCCCTTCCTGCTGTCCCCTTCTCAGAGAAGCAGCTCTCAGAGAGCCTTGGGAACCTTTCTTCCTGAAGCAGAAAAAACTCTCTCTCCTGCACCAAGTTCTTCAGGGCACAGAAGGAGGTGGAAGGTGGTGCCTCCAGAGGGGCTGCTGGTTCCAAGGCCAATGGCATCTTGGGACACTTGTTGGGAACCCCGAGTCAATTCTGGTGGGTGAAATCTCCCAGGGCCTTCTTCCTGGCCAGAGGCAGCTGGGGGATCTCCCATAGGCTGGAGGACCAGATTGAATACCGCTCTTACCAAGCTGGTATGGAAGGTGGTACCCTGGGTTTGCTTCCTGATGTAGCTACTTCTCAGTTAGGGGGCCCTGGGCATGTTTCTGACACTCTGAACTTGTCCTCCATCTATAAGGACCAGAATATATACCTGTTCGTTGTTCTATAAGGACCGGAATAGATACCTCCCAGGTTGATATCACAAATGAGATAATATGTGTAAAATAAATTAACAGAGCTGGGCACAGAGTAAAGAGCCCAACAAATTATAGGTACTTTTGTTATTATTATTATTATTTTTTGAGACAGGGTCTCATCCTGTTGGCCAGGCTGGAGTGCAGTGGTATGATCACAGCTCGCTGCAGCCTCCATCTCCCAGGCTCAAGCAGTCTTCCTGCCTCAGCCTCTAGAGTAGCTGGGACCGCAGGCGCACACCACCACACTCTGCTAATTTTTGCATTTTTTTTGTACAGACAGGGTTTTGCCATGTTGCCCAAGCTGGTCATGAACTCCTGGGCTCAAGTGATCCACCGTCTTGGCCTCTCAAAGTGTTGGAATTACAGGTGTGAGCTGCCTCGCCTGGCCATTATTATCTTTTT